TAACCTCAGATATGCAGATGACACCACCCTTATGGAAGAAAGTGAANGATATGCAGATGACACCACCCTTATGGCAGAAAGTGAAGAAGAACTAAAGAGCCTCTTGATGAAAGTGAAAGAGGAGAGTGAAAAAGTTGGCTTAAAGCTCAACACTCAGAAAACTAAGATCATGGCATCTGATCCCATCACTTCATGGCAAATAGATGGGGAAACAGTGGAAACAGTGGCTTACTTTATTTTTCTGAGCTCCAAAATCACTGCAGATGGTGACTGCAGCCATGAAATTAAAAGACGCTTGCTCCTTGGAAGGAAAGTTATGACCAACCTAGACAGCATATTAAAAAGCAGAGACATCACTTTGCCAACAAAGGTCCGTCTAGTTTTTCCAGTAGTCATGTATGGATGTGAGAGTTGGACCATAAACGAAGCTGAGCGCCGAAGAATTGATGCTTTTGAACTGTGGTGCTGAAGAAGACTCTTGAGAGTCCCTTGGACTGCAAGGAGATCCAACCAGTCAATAAAAGAAATCAGTCCTGAATGTTCATTGGAAGGACTGATGCTGAAGCTGAAACTCCAATACGTTGGCCACAAGATGCGAAGAACTAATTTGAAAAGACCCTGATGCTGGGAAAGATTGAAGGTTGGGAGGACAAGGGGACGACAGAGGATGAGATGGTTGGATGGCATCACTGACTCAGTGGACACGAGTTTGAGTAAACTCCGGGAGTTGGTGATGGACAGGGAGGCCTGGTGTGCTGCAGTCCATGGGGTTGCAAAGAGTCGGACACGACTGAGCGACTGAACTGAATTGAAAAATGAGACCCCCAACCCCACCCCCCCGCCAAGGGCCGAAACTTCGCTCCACCCGGAGGGAAGAGTCTAATGGAGGCTTCCCGCGGGGAGTGCGGAATGCCGAGCCCGGATCCCAAGGGCGCAGGCGCAGAGCGGCGGCCCGCCGGAGGGAAGTTTGAGCCAGCGATCTTCAGTAACGGTACTAGGAACGCCGGACTGGAGGGTCGGCGCTGCGTTATGGGAGAGTTTCGGCCTCTTGGGAGACCAGAGCGGGCATCCAGTTGCAGGGCGGGCAGGTTTAGTGGTGAGAACGGGAATACGACTTACTCCTCTCTGATAAGCCCCGCATCTATGAGCGCCACAGTGCTAGGCTCAGGATGGGGCGGTGGTCCTTAGGGGACGTTGGACCTTGTCAATCCAACCAAAGAATAAAAAATATAGGGCTTCTCTAGTGATCTACTGGTTAAGAACTCTCCTTGCAAGGGAGGGGAGGCAGGTTTGATCCCTGGTAGGGGAGCTAAGCTCGTTCATGCCAGGCAGCAACTGAGCCCGCAAGCCGCAATGAAAGATCCCCACTGGCGGAAACGAAGACCCTTTTATTTTTTAAATAAAAAATATAGACCGTTTTGAGGGACCTGTGAGGGGCTGAAGCTGGGTAGACAGGCATCCTCGTTGAGCAGAGAAGAGAAAAAAGAATAGATCATTAAGGCCAGGGCTGGAGAAGGGCTTTTGAGCAGAAGAAATTGCGTTTGGAAAGAGCCATCGAAAAAACTAGCGGGCGGTAACCACAAACTGGCCACGCTTCTCCCCGGGTAGGGGGGAGCACTTAGTGGCTGCCCTGAGGGAGCATGGATCTGTGTGCAATGCACCTGTCTCTCTGGCTCAAACTGATGAATGCAGAGACAAAGATTTTTGTTACTGTCTTCAGCAGGTACAGAGGTTTAGGGTCTTAAAACACACACATACACACACACTCTCTCTTGTTGCCTTTTCACAGCTATTGTCCCTGCAAAGTTAAAGAGTAGAGAAGAGGGTGCTTCTGATTTCTCTTCCTGAGGATGCTGTCTTTTGGTACAAAATTCCGTAAATCCTGTTTGCAATCACTGTTTGCTAGAAAACCAAAAAAGTACCTGCCCAGAGAACTGTGCCCAGTACTGGAGACTGTAGAGAGAGCAAGGGCCTGAGAATCAGCTGCTACCAAGTCCCAATTCCTGGCTGTGCCTTGTACAGCTAGGTGACCTTGGGCAAGTCGCTTACTATCTCTGAGTAAGTGTTTATCTGTAAAGTAAGATTAATAATTTCTAAATGCTGGTGTAATACATATGGCTGATAATGCATATGAAGCTCTAAGTGTGCTCAATAAACAGGTGTGAACAAATCTGATATTAAACATATTCATTTTTAATGAATAGTCATAATTTTTCATTTTTATTTTTTCTCCTGGTGAACATTTTGTGATTTTACAGTCTTAGAACAGATAGAAACTTTGCATGTTTCACAACTCATAGCAAGTTGTGTACTTTGACAGTACTATTTCCATTTCTGATGCTTAGTGCTCTGGCTTTTTGCTCTGGGAAGTTGGGAGAATTTTGGCCTCTCATCACGTTCCACACTTGTCTCTTAGCAGACACTATTAAGATGGAAATCAAATCAGAATGTTTCTTTCAGAATTCTCAGCACATGTAACTAGTTTTCCTTGACCCATATTTGATCCCCAGTAGGTCATTGTGGTGTCATCGATGTGTTTTCCATGGTCTTCCAGCTTCATCCTCCATAATTACTGGGGCAGGGCACTGGGCAAACAAAAATGTAAGGCAAAGAGTGGGGCTGAGTTAAAAGGAAAAGCTGATAAAATCACTAGCACACATTGATGCTGAAAAGAATGAAAGTTCTCCTCTTGTCCCCAGCTAATAAGACCTCCCTGAAGTAGATGATGAACTATAGTGAAAAGATTTCTTCACCGAAATAAGGCAGTATAAAATCCATCAGACAAGTGAGGGGTGTCCTGAACTCATGTGTGTTATATGCTCACATTTTGTCAGGTCAGAATTGCTTTTAGAAATGGCTTATCACTAGGCCTGTACAGACCCTGCCTGGGCTCCTTATGCCCTAGACTTGACAAGCATACAGAAGTATATGAGGTAGACGTGTGTAAAAAGTATTAGGGGCTCCATCCTGCCTGACTCTTTGCAACCCTATGGATTGTACCCGCTAGGTTCCTCTGTCCATGGAATTCTCTAGGCAAGAATACTGCAGTGGGTAGCCATTCCCTTCTCCAGGGGATCTTCCCAACCCAGGGGTCAAACCCAGGTCTCCTCCATTGCAGGCAGATTCTTTTCCATCCAGAAAAAGGAGCAGAGAATTAACTTGGCAACCAGGCTCAGACCATGAGCATCCAATTGAGCCTCCTCTTGGAAGACCCCATTTCCCATTACCTGGCTTGTTCCAGACAGTTCCTGGCTTGGCTCTGCTTAGAGATTTTGACAGTTACTCTGCTTGGACCTAACAGCCAGAGTGAGCAGCAGACCAGCACAGAGGTTACATGTGAGAGCCCCAGAGTCAGTTTATATGGCTCCAAGTCCCAACTCCGGCCCTTATTAGCTCTGTGACCTCTAGGGAAGGTACAGCTTCTCTGTGTTTCTTCATTGGTAAAAAGGAGATTCCTGCCTTAGGGTTGTTTGGATGAAAACTGGTAACAGACATGAAAAAGTCTAGCACAGAAACTGGATCAGAGTAGGCAGATGTTCTGAGGCTGACTTTGACCAGTTAACTCTATGCACCACAGGACTTTTGCAGAAACTGACACCTGTGGCCAGCGATTTGTTTTGTAAGTGATACTGATACATCTTAATAACATGCAGGTGACAAAAGACACACTAACACGTCTCTGGTCAAGACGTGAAGCAGAGGGGTGAAGCAAAAAAAGAAGTGATTAACAGAAGCTCTCAAAATCATTGGGAAAACTAGAGAGGGAGAATCCAGGATTCCGAGGCATGACACTGCAGCATGGATGTGATCTCTGGTGTTTTCCAATAAGCACCAGGATGTTATCTGTGTCATTCTTGGCAAGTGGCTTCTACTATTAGGATTATTATATTATCCTAAGATGGTACTGGAGCTCTAGCCACTGTTTCTAGGTCCTGGGCAGGAAAAAAAGGAGGAAAGAGCAAAAGATCTGGTGCTGCCAATAAGCGCATCGTTGCCACTTGTACACCAGGAACTCAGTTTTGTGGGTTTTGTTACCACAGCAACCACATGAAAGGGAGCTCCCAGTTCCTTCCTTGAGCCAAAAATCTGATAACAGGTGCATCCTGAGGCCACATGCCTGGCCCGAGCTCCAGGGTAGGCTGGGAAAGTTAGTGTTTGGCATTGTCAGCTACAGTTAAGTGGAGGTAGTGAACTACTTCCCATCATGGCTCATAAAATAAGAGATTCCCTGACTATAGGCTGGGGTTCAGATGCCAGGCAGACAAACCTAATAAATGTGCAATACCACTCACCCAAAGAAAGACATCATTGACATAGGAAAAAAAGTGGATGTTGGGTGATACCTTACAGGCTTGTTACACCTTGGTCATTTTACACATTGAGATCAAAATTCAAACACCAAGAGATCTTCTGGTTAAAAGGTGCTCATTGCCTACCCAACATTTTCCCTTCTCCCTTAGTGTCAGAACCCCTGCATTATTGTGGGGAGTCATGTGCCCAGTTAATTGGACATATATCCCATCCTCCAACGCAGGTAAGGTGGCTGGCTAGTGAGATGCAAGCAGAAGTCATTGGGTGGGGCTTCTTGGGAAGCTCTGTAAAGGTGCCCTTTTGCTCTTTCCTCCTTTTTTTCCTGCCCAGGACCCAGAAACAGTGGCTAGAGCTCCAGTACCATCTTAGGATAATATAATAATCCTAATAGTAGAAGCCACTTGCCAAGAATGACAGAGAAGAAATACAGAAAGCCTCTGATGACCTGTGGTACCAGCCCTGGATCACCTAACACCATCCTTCTTCCATGGGCTGGGGCAGGGAGGGAATCTTGTTTAAGCCATTGTTACTTTGGGCTTCTGTGACTAACAGTTGAAGGTAATTCCTTACAGATTTCAAGCTGGCTTTGGTGGTTTTACGGGAGCTTCTCTTCTAGCAATCCAAGATGGCATCATCCTCCGGCGCATAGGAGAATCCCAGGAAGGCACTGGAGGCCCCAGAGCTGCTCGCCATGGTGTCAGGAGTGCAGCCAATGGACTTTGACACAGCTTCCTGTGTGAACTCTGGGTCAAAGTGTTTCAAGTCAGCAGGTCCTGCCTGTGAATGTAAGCCAACGATGAGAAGGGAACACTGGGTCAGAGCTGCCAGAGGAGCCCAGAGCCCTGAGAGAGCTGTCAGATGTCCCCTCTGAGTGCCCCAGGGGCATCACTTTTTCATGCATTTACACTAATCATCATATTCCACAAGGTCCATTAACCATTTACCAATTCCTCTACCCTCCTGGCCCCCTGCCTGCTCTACATCAACCCTCCATATGCTGCTGGTAGATTGTGACATGAAGAAAGTATGAATCAAGAACCTCAAAAATGTGCACAACAGATTCAGAGAACAAATGAGTGGTTACCAGAGGGGAGAGGGGCTGGAGGAAGGGCAGAACAGGTGAAGGGGATTAAGATGTACAAACCACTAGGTATAAAGTTACAAGGATGTAATGGACAGCACGGGGAACATAGTCAGTAGTTTTTAGTAACTCTGTATGGAGTATAATCTGTACAAATATTGAATTACTCCGCTGTACACTTGAAACTAAAATCATAGTGTAAGTCAACTAACTGTGGCGGTGCTGGTGGTTTCGTTGCCAAGTCGTGTCCAACTCTTGTGACCCCACGGACTGCAGCCCACCAGGCTTCTCTGTCCATGGGCTTCTCCAGACAAGAATCCTGGAGTGGGTTGCCATTTCCTTCTCCAGGGGATCTTCCCAACCCAGGAATCAAACCTGGGATTCCTGCATTGCAGGCAGATTCTTTACCGACCAAGCTATGAGGGAAGCCGCAACTAACTATACTTCAACAATAAAAAATAAAATATATTCACATTCTTTGACTTGGTAATCCCCCATCTGGAATCCATCTTGAAATAATCAGAACTCTGGACAATTTGCAGCAACATTGATGGACCTAGAGATTGTCATACTGAGTGAAGTCAGACAGAAAGACAAATATATGGTATCGCTTCTATGTGGGATCTAAAGAAATGATAGAAATGAGCTTATTTACAAAACAGAAATAGACTCACAGACATAGAAAACAAACTTCTGGTTGCCACGGGGAACAGGGGAGGGATACATTAGGAGACTGGGATTGATATATACACACTATTTTATGAAAGAGTACTAGTGAGAACCTACTGTGTAGCCCAGGGAACTTTATTCGGTGCTCTGTCATGACTCCATGGGAATGGAGTCTGGAAGAGAGTGGATCTATGTCTGTGTGACTGTTCCACTTTACAGCAGAAACTAGCCTAACATTGTAAATCAACTATACTCCAATGAAAAATTTAATTAAAAAATAACTGGACAAAGACGTGAACTTAAAGACATTCATTAATCCATCATGATAAAGAAAAAATGGTACTAACCTAAAGTGCACCATTAGGAACATGGTGGAATAAATTATGTTACCAACATAGGGTTGAAATATTATACAGCCACTTAAAGTCATAGTCTTATGTGACTTAAGAAAATGACGACATAGTTTTAGCAAAAAGAGGGAGGAGATGAGATCTATCTATATACATGAATTATGATCTATGTTGGGGGAGATGATATATGTGTCTATGTATGAACTATGACCTACATAAAAAACAGAAAAAAAGACCTGAAAGAAACATGCCAGTGGTGCATGCTTTCTCTTGGGTGGTGAGATAATACGCTTTTTCTCCTTGATGCTTTAAAATTATTTTATTTCTTGGTCATGCTGTGTAGCATGCAGGATCTTGAGTTCCCTGACCAGGGATCAGACCTGCTCCTGCTGCAGCGGAAGCTCAAAGTCTTAACCAGTAGACTGCAAGGAAGCCCCTCTCCATGATGGTTTAAATGTCTCTGTTTTACACACTTTCTACAATAAATACATGTCATTTTTATTACCAGGAAGAAAGCTAAACCTAGAAAAAAAAAATCTTTACAGGACTCGGCTCTGTCTGGGTGTGCTCCACGACACAGAACACTTTAAAGGCTGTGAAGTGCTTTGCGATGAGAGTTATTGGTATTGACAGTAAAGGGGAGGCAACCTGGCTCCTCTTACAGAGCTGAACTGGCAGTCAGGACTTCCAGGTTCCAGACTCAATTCTGCCTCTGCATACAGGGTAGCTTTGAACAAATCACTGAGCTTCTTGGACCCTCGGTTCTCCCATCTCTAGGAAGAGGCCAGGCCAGGATACCCTCCCCAGGTACCCTCCAAGCTTCCACCAGTCCTGGGAACCCAGAAGCTAGAACATGATGGCCTCTTACCACATTTGGGTTGAAGGGTGGAGTCAGCCTCTTGTGGTACAAGTCATCCCAGTTTATGGGGCTGAAGAATACATGGCTCTTTATCTCAAGCTGTGGGAAGAAGGTGATCAGTCGCAGTCCTCTCCATTGGCGCCCCCACCCCACCCCACATGCCTCGGAGCTCCAACTCTATCGGCAACTGGTTGTCTAGCCCTAAAATCTTTACTAGGAAGGTAACTTGCCATTATAGCTGGTTTCCTGGAACAAAGGAGTGTCTGCCATAAGACCTCTCCCCTTAGCTGTTATCTCAAACCCAGATCTTTTCCCTGTAACATCTGTTTATGCCACAGCTATTTATTGAGCACCTACCCTGTACTATATATACTAGGCTGTGAGGTATGTCAGTGAAGAAGATGGCAGAACCTGCTCTTGGAGGGTCCCGGGGAGTCTTACCCCACTCTCTCAGTGCATCCTGACTCTTCCAGAATTCTTTTTTTTTTTTTTTTAAGTCTTCATTGAATTTGTTACAATATTACTTCTGCTTTATGTTTTGGTTTTTTGGCTGCAAGGCATGTGGGATTTAAGCTCCCCAACCAGAGACTGAACCCACATTCCCTGCATTGGAAGAGGAAGTCCCAACCACTGGGCCACCAGGGAGATCCCTCTTCCAGAATTCTAGACAGACCAAATCAACTCACTAAGGAAGATTCGAGAAATAAAGCCCCAAGAAAAGCTGCAGTTTCGCAAAGATCCAGAATTAAGGATTCAGCCTTGGGCATGATTCATCACTTCTTTCCTAATCCAAACTAATGTTGACAAAAACTTCCGCCTTTTCCAGCAAAGCCCTCCCTCTCTCTCTGTCTCTCAAAGAATGATTCTTAACTCTGTGTATCTGAACCCCCTAGGGAATTGTTAACAAGCCAGATTCAAACTATTTCCAGAATACCCACAAAACTGGTAACACTTGTTGCCTCCAAATTTAAAAAACTAGGTAGCTGAAGGGACTTTTTCTGAATATCCTTTGAATCTTGGTCTATAGGAAAGTATACCTTAGTTTAAAAAATCACATTTTTTTTTACGATGCAAATTTCCTCTGGGAAGGAGGGACCTGTCTTCATGAAAGCCTTTTCTTTAAACTGTCCAGGGATGGGTAGGCAAAAGCCTTAAATGTTGTTAAACTTCACAGTATCTGGAATATAGGATAGTTTGTACACTCAAAAAGCACTTACTACGTGGCAGGCACTAGCCTAAGTGCTTATGTTATTTGACCTTCATAAGAGCTATGAACTGGGTGCTGTTATTACAGATGGGAAGAAACGTTACAGCAGGGGCTTCCCAGGGGCCTCAAACCATAAAGAATCTGCCTGCCAAGAAGGAGACGTGGGAGATCCCCTGGAGAAGGGAATGGCAACCCACTCCAGTATTCTTGCTTGGGAAATTCCAGACAGAGGCACCTGGCAGGCTACACTCTCTGGGGTCGCAAAAGACTTGAACGTGACTTACCAACTAAACAACAAAGAGAGGTTAAGCCATTTACCCTGCACCTAGTCATTGGTGGAGAAAGGATCTGAATCCAGGCAGTCTGTCTCACAGTTCATGCAATCTCAGCTTCTGCGCTTAAAGAACAAACTTCTATGGAGAAAAGTACTGTGGTCTTTTTATAAATCCAAATGATCTTTTGTTGAGTAGAGAATGTATGATTATTTTTTAAATTTTGCTTTAATTTTTTTTTTTAAGCCATGAACTTGTTTGGAGAACAGACTGTGAATTCTTCACCTCTCCATTCAGATGTCTAGCCTAGGTCCTGGCAAGAGGAAGTGCTCAGATATTTGTGAAAAGCAATTTAGTTTGCTCTCTGTACAGAAGCCAGAGGAATTTGTCAAAACTTAACCTGGGGCCTCCACTCTCCTGCTCAGCATATACTAATTAATCAATCCTCTAATTATCTCTCTCCGCCTTGCTCCAACTTAGGACTTTTGCACACGCTGTGTCCAGTGTCTGGGATGCCTCCTCCCAGTTCTTTCCCATCCTTCAAATCTCTGCTCAATTGTCACCTCCTCACAGAGGCCTGCCCTGACCACGCCAGTGTGAATGTCCCCCATTATTGTCTATCTCTGCTCATTGTTCATGTCTTTCTGAAACAGGCTGGAACCTGGGACCCTTTACCGGAGTGTGTGCACTTGTACTTAGACAAACACCCAGAGGAATGTCTCATCCAGCAACAGAATACAAAGAAACTATAAGGGACGAAAAAGAGCTGCACCCATGCGCCGTGGGGACAAATTATGAGCTGAAAGATACAAGAAGACCAAAAACCAACTGCCCCCTCTGGGATGCTGGAAGAAAAAGCAGGGTGCTGTGCGTGAACCCTGCACACAACACCGCCAAGGGGGTGGGCAGACCACCTAAGCCACCTCTCCTACCTGACCCCAGATTTGCCCTTACCCTCACCCCATATAATGAATCAGTCTGCCCTCCTCGGACAGCCAACAAGGGCACCTATTACTTATTTCTGCTCCCTCTTCCTACCTCACAAGTCCCAATAAAGCCTTGCCTGAATTCCCATCTGGCCTCAGCATAGTCACACTCTGTAATAATTTATGTTTGTCTGCCTTTCCCTCATAAACTTAAGGGCAGAGACCCAATCTAACAAGTCCCTAGCATTTAACTCAAAGTCCAGCACATAGTAGGTGCTCCATAAATACTGGTTGACTAGAAGCGTTAGATTGAAAGAAATAAACAGCAGCAGCTGTGAATTAGCAGTGCCTGGCTCTAGGGAACAGCTGGAAGCGTGACTGCTTCTGGGCTGCCTCTGCAGGAGGCTGAGAGCCCAGCGCCCCACTGGCAGGGCACCTACAAAGTCTGTTTTGGAGCCCAGCCGCTGCCTCTGGTCTTTGTGGAGCAGGGCTTGCAGGAGGTCGCAGGCGGCCACCGTCCGGCCCCCAGGAATCCGCAGTGGCTGGTGCAGAATGTTCTCATACATCTGTGACACGTCTTGGCTGTAGAAGGGCGGCTGGTGAGAGACAGGCAGAGAGATGGGAGGATCATCCATGCTAAAGTGGGCACAGTTCTCAGAGACACTTGGAGCAAAGCGGGGGAGCAGCTGGGAGGATTCAGCCAGACCTGTGTCTTGGGCGATGGCTCACGCGGCAGACTGGAGACAGACAGAGACCTCTGGGCCTCCAGCACAGTGGAGAGGCTGCTGGGAAGGCCGAGAGGTCTCTCCGCTCCAGCATGAGGCTTGTGGACCTCTCCAGGTGCCCCCTCTATCCCACGTCTCTTAATCAAGCTTGTGTACCAACTTAGCACTTTGCAAAGTTAACAGTTTCCCATCATCATTTTATTCCAGCCTCATGATGGTTATGAGACATGTTGTCATTTTTCAGACGAGAAGCGCAGGCAGTCTAAGATTGGATCCAGGAGCTAGTTCTACCACCTCCCAGGACTGTGACCTTTTTGAGTCTCAGTTTCCCTCTTGGTAAAATAAGAACAACCCCATTTCCTGCAGTGCCCGCATCCAAAGGCTGTTTTGAGGCACCAAAGGAGTAACACATGAGATAATATATGATAAAGTGTGGAACTGACTTTATTGAAAAAAATATACTTTATCCTTGTATCCATGTTTGCATCACCCTTTCTGAGCTTGTAGAGAAGAGGTGGCTCATTCAATTCCTTGAGGAGCCTGAGGAGGCCACACAAGGAAGAGATCCACTCCCCATCTCTTCCAGAATCAGCTCTACCCACTCACCAGGCCATGTAGCATCTCGTAGAGCACCGCTCCCAAGCACCACCAATCCACTGCCCGATCGTAAGGCTCCTTACGGAGCACTTCCGGAGCCAAGTACTGTTGAGAGAAAACACACTTATTTGAAAGACACTCAGCTTCCATCTCCCCATTTGTAAACAAGGTACTTGGAGGAAAAGATCAGCAGAAGCTGATTCTGCGGTGGTATTTACTTAGCTGTGCGTGTGTTCTTTCAGCATCAGTTCATCAAAGACCTGTTTTGTGCAGGACCCTTTGCCAGTGTGCTGAGGACGTAGAGGAAATCTGGCTGGACTGCCCTGTACGGCTGTATATGTTGTGCACCACACAAAAGCACCAGCCAAAGGGGTAAAGGGGGCTGCAAGCCTGGCTGTGATCAACTCACCAAACCATAACCCTAGTACAAGACAGTAGATCTCTGGCAACTTGTGTGCATGTGTGCTAAGTTGCTTCAGTCATGCCTGACTTTTCGATGGACTGTAGCCCGCCAGGCTCCTCTGTCCATGGGATTCTCCAGGCAAGAATACTGGAGTGGGTTACCATGCCCTCCTCCAGGAGATCTTCCTGACCGAGGGATCAAACCGCACCTCTTATGTCTCCTGCATTGGCAGGCAGGTTCTTTACCACTAGCTGCACTTAGGAATCCCCATCCAGCAACTCACATATGTTTAAAGGGAAAACTTGGGACTTCCCTGGTGGTCCAGTGGTTAAGAATTCACCTTCCAGTGCAGAGGACACAGGTTCAATCCCTGGTCCAGGAACTAGGATCCTACATGCCACAGGACAACTAAGACTATATGCCACAACTACTGAGCCCATGTGCCCTAGGGCCAGGGCTCTGCAACAAGAGAAATCACCCCAATGAGAAGCCCAAGCACCACAACAAAGAGTAGCCCCTGCTTGCTGCAACTAGAGAAAGCCCATGCCCAGTAATGAACAGCAGCCAGAAATAAAATAAAATACAAAATAAATAAACGGAAAACATATTCTAATTAGTCTGCCCAAAGGGAGTGCCTTTAATTTGCTCAAAAGCATCCAAGTGATGTCCTGGAATGAGGAGAGCCCTGGGGATACTCACAGGGCAGTGGGAAGACTCACAGATGAAGTGTAAGTCGGTGTGGCCCATCTTTGCACGGGTAACCTTCGTAACAGAGAGATGGAAAGGAGTCGGGAAAGAGGAGGTTGCATTTGAGCTCCTACTGACAGCTGAATGTGTGCTGTGTATCTGCACCTTGCTCAGGTGGAGAACCTGAGGCAGAATTGTGCTTCCTGCAGACCCGAGGGCTTGGGAACCTCTTAGACTGGGGTCTCTACCACCAAGGAAAGAGGCCTCAGCAGCAGACCAAGGCACGCTGAGAGACTGCATGGGTGTGGAGAGGGGCAGGGAGTTCCCAGGACTAGTCTTGTGAAATGAAAAGACGCTTACTCCTTGGAAGGAAAGTGATGAGCAACCTAGACAGCATATTAAAAAGCAGAGACATTACTTTGTCAACAAAGGTCCATCTAGTCAAGGCTTTGGTTTTTCCAGTGGTCATGTATGGATGTGAGAGTTGGACTATAAAGAGGGCTGAGTGCCAAAGAATTGATGCTTTTGAACTGTGGTTTGGAGAAGACTCTTGAGAGTCCCTTGGACTGCAAGGAGATCCAACCAGTCCATCCTAAAGGAGATCAGTCCTGGGTGTTCATTGGAAGGACTGATGCTGAAGCTGAAACTCCAATACT